TGGTTAACTACCGTACTACAACACTCTTGCAGCAAGACAACACCAAGACCACGGTCAGAAGCACTTGTAATAACTTCATAGGGCTTCTTCTCATCAGGAGTCCTAAGCAACGGAGCTTCAATCAGACTACGTTTAAGCTTCTCAAAAGCATCTTGACACCGCCCAGCCCAATCCCAGCCAACAGACTTTTTTGTCAAGTTCGTCAGAGGCACTGCTATGGAAGAGTAGTGATCAATGAACTTGCGAAAGTAGTTACAGAGTCCCAGAAACGACCGAACATCGTGGACGTTCTTAGGCACAGGCCAAGACCGAGCAGCACTAACTTTCTTGGGGTCAGGACGAATGCCCTGTGCATTTACAACATGCCCCAAATACTGAATCTCAGTCTGAGAAAACTTGGACTTCGCTTTTGTCACGGAAAACAGCTTGCGGCGCAAAACATCCAGAACAAGCCGCACATGCGCTTGATGTTCCTCCTCGGACTTCGGAAAGTTAAAAATGTCGTCCAAGTACACAACGACAAACCTCTTCAGATAAGGCGCGAAAGATTGAGTTCATTACCGTCTGAAACGTCGCCGGAGCATTCGTCAGAACTTCAATAAACACCTTCAACTGATAGTGTACGAAAGGCGTACGGAAAGCTGTCTTCGGACGATCTTCCTCAGAATTTAGGATCTGATGATAACCAGACGTCAGATCCAAAGAGGTAAAATATTGTGAACCACTCACAGCATCCAACAGATCATCAATGCGAGGAATCGGCGATTCTTCACGGTTATGAGTTTAAATCCCGATAATCAACACACAGACGAAGACCACGACCGTTAGGCTTAGGGACAAACAACACAGGAGCACCATACGGAGACCAAGAAACTTCCAGAATTCCAGCCTTCAAAAACGCGGTGAGCGGCTTTTCCAACTTACGATATTCCAACGGAGATAAACGGTACATCTGCCAAAACGTAGGAGGATGTCCTGGCTCTGTAGGAATACTGTGACCTTCTGCACGAACAGGAGGCAGACCAACCGGAAGAGCATCCTAAAATACGCCAGAAAACTAAGACAATAAATCAGAAACCCATTTCTTCTCACTTGAGACAAGGTCGCTCGGCTGGACTGGTTGTACGGTTGGCTCAGACAGTGTAGTGGCATGATCTTGGTTGCCCCCAGACACAGAGCCTGCTACAGTAGCGGTAGAACACGTGGCAGCTCCTGGGTCAATAGGCTTCAATGAGGCCAGGTACACGCAGGCGTCACGCTTTACCAACCGCTTTAACTGCGCATGAGACAACACGTCGGGATTAGACTTCTCATCATCGTCAAAACGTGAACGAGGAAGAGCAGGACTACGAACAGTCAAGTGTCTTTTCCCTTTCTTTATCATGATAACACTTTTGCCATAATGCAGAATGCAGTCATGAACTCGTCACCAAGGATAACATCAACCTCGAACAACAAGTTCATAACGTAGCACTTCACATGCTTGTGAAACGCTCCCAACTGAACATATACAGTTGCCTCACCGTATGCAGTATCGTCTCCACTGTCGGCTGGCATTGGGAACGGCCACGTGGCCTAATCCTACCCGTCTATCCCTGCCAGCAAAGACTATGCATGGCTTACTCGACCCGTGACTCCTCGCGACATGATGAAAATGAACAAAACGACCCTTTTCGACCGGGCCTATCCATTGATGACGTGCCAGTTCCCTTGCAAGCAAAACACAATGGCGGCGTGGGGCGCTGCAAGTGCCGTAGATCTCCTTCTGCTCTCTCATGCAGCATGCACATCACCGATCATGCAATGCTCGTGGCCATTGTGACTTCTCCCTTTCTCGAGGCTTCGGCTCCGATCACGCACAACACATGAGCTGACAGCGCTTCTTCCCACACTCACTTGAAAGGAGGAGAACCTCCGCCACAGTTCACAATCCCTGCTGCCAATAGCTCGCTGCACTATGCAATGAACACTAGCGCCCTATGCTCAACGCGCCTAGCTGTGGAGACTTGCCTAAGAGAAGGGAAGGGATCACCTCTCCTCGGCCCTATGGGTTCGGCCGGCACGAGTCTCAATCATGGGCTAAGGTCTCGTACCCTAGACTCGGCCGGTAATCTCGGCGTCTACCACTAACCACACACTAGTGGACTAACCCTAGACTCTACCCGCGGCGCGCGCGCCAGGCTCGCAAGCCGGCCGCGGCTCGCCACATCGCCGCCACGTGGCACGTCTGCGCCACGTGTCGCTATCTGGACACTACCCGGCACGGACCGCCCTCGGCATGGGTCCAACCACTTGCCGAGCCGTCTCTTCCTCTGAGATTCCCCGCATGCACACCGGGACTTCATGATGTTCCGCATTTGGGTCTCCTGGGCCCTGCGCCGCCGCCGCGCTCTCCTTCTCCTTTGCCGGGCTTCTGGGTTGCTGCCCTCCCTCGCCGGTTTCTCAGGGGGTAGCGCTCCAACTCCAGCGCCTCTTCCAGCCAGCCGTCGTCCTCCAGCTCATCCTCATCCCCGGCCCACGGGTCTTTTGCGGCCTGCTCTCGCCGAAGTTGGAGAAGAGCGCCTGCCGAGATCTCCTCCTCGGTTTGCTCTGCCCCCTCCGCTTCCGGCTCAGGTTCCCGCTCCGGTTCAGGCTCCGGCACAGCCTCTTCCACCTTCTATTTCCCCTTCCGCCGGCGCTTCCGCTCCTCTTCATCCTCTTGCGCGGCCGCAGCCTCTGCCGGCGGCCCCTCGGCCACCCGTGACGCCTCAGCCAGCACGTCAGGGGTGGAAGCAGGGCCACCGGGCGGCGCGGGAAGGACCAGGGGCTCCACCCCTTCCTCCACGGCCGCCTGCCGCTTCCTAGGAGAGCTTCGCACCGGTGGGGTTGGTGGGTTCACCTCTGGTTTGGGCGCCGGCGGCGCTTTGGGTTTCGCCGCGGGCTTCCTCCTGGACTTGGGTGACGGCTTCTCCTCGAGCCGACGGCTAGTTCTACCGCTGCTGCAGTCGGCGCCCGCCGCAGCATCGACCCAAGGAGTTTGGATCGCGGGGGTGCGAGTTCCCCCATTCCTTCTGGGGGCGTGGGCTTGGGGCCGACCAGCTTGTACCGCGTCGCAATCGCCGTCGGTTCTGGCAGCTTCCTCTTCTTATTCTTGAGGAACCCCCTGATCAGCGCCGTGCCGTACGTCTCCGCCGCTTGCGCCCGCCACTGGTCAATTGGCATTTCGACCACCTCCCCGCACTTCCCGCTGCGTCCCCGGTTCACTTCTTGGTCAGGGTTGGGGCCGACCGTGACCAGCTCTTCGCTGTCCATGGGTTTCTTCGACATCCGGCCTGGCAACTAGACCATCTCGGCGAAGTCTGGTCGATGGGGTTCCCGCTGCTCCCGTCGCTGGCGGAAGAGCTCAAGCAAGTCTGTCCCCACTCGCGCCAGCGCCTGGTAGACAAACTCATACCAGGCCGTGGTCCGCGCGTCTGCCCCTTCCTTCTTGCTCGCAGGCTTGTACTCCAACACCGCGTGAGCCCAGTGGTTGAGGTACCCGTGGAGCTCGTTGTCCTTGAGCTCGTTCCACTGCGGGCCCTTCTTGCGGTCGGCGCGAGAGGTTCTCCAGCTCGGGGTGATGAGCACATGGGCGAATGGGTCCTCCGGGTTGCGCAGAAAGCCTCTCTCCAGGACGGTCAAGTGGTTCAAACCCCGCGCCCGCGTTCCCTGGGGTTTGCGAGAAGATCTAAAAATCCGTTTTCCTGGTGAACTCCGTTGCCGTGGGTGAAGGGGCCACATGAGCCTCCTCCTTGGACGAAGTTACTTCTGTGCTTGAGGGATCTACCCCCCCCGGCTCTTGGGCACCTTCACCGCCCCTGCTCTGCTCTGCCGGCACTGGCGCCGGCTCCCCTTGCTCCTCTGCTTCAGCCCGCTCAGGCTCCTGGGCTACCTCTTCTTCATGCTTTTCTTCTTCTTTCTCTTCTTCCTCCATGGGCGTCGCCTCGTCTTCTGGCGGCGGCCCCTTCTTCTCTGGATCAGGGGGATCTTCTCCTGGGTGTCCTCCCGACGTCCCCCCCCCTGCCGGCTGATCCGCGGCGCCCATTTCTTCATCTCGCCCCGCTTCTTCGTCTGCCGGCGGTGGTGGTCCTCCTGCCAGCATGTCTACAGCCTCCATCTCTTGGTCTGGGGTCGCATCTGCATCTGCCGGTGGTGGTGTCCCCTCTGCCGGCGCGTCCGCTGCCTCCTCCCCTTGGTCTGGGGGCTCGTCCGCATTTGCCGGCAGCGGTGGACCAAGCGCCAGGTAGTCCAGCCCCCTCTCCATCTCCTCCTCTGCCGGCGAGGGCTTCGCCGCTGCGGCTTTCCCCTTGGCCTGCTGCGCGGGCTCATCGGAGGAGCTCTCGGCTGAGGAGCTGTCCTCCCTCTCTGGGCCCTGCACAATGAAGTCGTCTATGGAATCCCCCGACTCGCTGTCAGAGTCATCCGGTTCAGACCCCTTGCTTACTTTGCGCTTGACTGGATGCGCCCGCTTCTTTGCGCCCCCGATCCCCGTCCTCTGAGCAGCGGCCGCACGCCCGCGGATTTGGCGCTGTGCGCGCACCTTCTCCACTGTTTCGGACTTCGGCGGTTCCTCCGTCTGGGGTTTCGGTTTGCGCGGCTTGGGGTCGTGGTACGGGATATGGCGGTCCATGAGGTCGGAGCCCATGTAGGCGGAGGCCTCGTAGATGAATTTCTCGGGCATGGACATCTCTTCAAGGGTTTGGCGGGCTTCGGCTCTGGGCGGAGGGGGTGTGAGGGGGTCGTCGTTGTCACTCGCCAGGGTGGCCTCCGGCACTTCCTCCACCCCCGCTGTGGTGAACATCTGGGCGTACTCGTCTGGCAACACCGTGACGTTCACCCTGGGGACTAGCTTCATGTCGAACTCGAGGTCCCGTCCCTTGCGCCCCCGCCGCACCTTCTTGCCCTGGAGCGCCGCCTCCTCCGCAGCTTCTAGCTTGTTGAGAGTTTGGTCCAGTTTGTCCCACACGATCCGCGTCTCCTGCGCCTTTGCCGCCATGTCATAGGCCTCTTGCAGCTTCTTGACCTGCACCGCGTCTTCTGGCTCTCCGTCGCCGGCGGTGCCTGACGGCCCCGCCTCCTCGGCGAAGTAGACTCCGGCGCCGGCGCCCCCGTTGCCACTCCCCGGCGCCTCACAGTCTCACCTAGGATGGGTCCCACCCGCGGGTCTTCCAACAGCTCCTCGCGCACTCCCACCAGGTCCATGCCTTCGAGTCCCTGATAGCGCGCGTCCGTTGGGGGATATTCTTGGAAAGCGGGGGCCAGGCAAACCTCATGGGGTTCCTGTGGATCTTCCCCCAGCGCAGACCGCCTTCTCCTTGCCGGCACCTCCTCCTCATGTTCTTCCTCCCCCTCGGTTTCAGGTTCCGGCGGCGGCCGCTCTCCCTTGGGCTTGAACGGCGGTGGCGGACCTCCCTTGCGCAGGCGGTCCTCCTTGGCTCGAGCAGCCAGCCGTTCAGCCTCGCCACGCGCGCGCCCGGCTGGGGTGGTGTCGCGCTGCGCCTGCGTGCTGGGGCGCAGCTCTGGCCCCTCGTCCGCCATTACCGCCAGGGCCCGCAGATGCGCCGGCGCTCCCCTCACAGTCGCTTACCACGCCATGAACGGGCTCCACTGGTCGTCCTCCTCTTCAGAGTCCTCCTCAACGTCTTGCGCCGCGTACGCGTTCTTGGGCTTTTCCCTGGGGTTACCGGCAGGCGTGGTCGCGTTCTCACCCCTCTTCTTCCACTTCTCTGGGCGCTTTTCCGGGAACTTCTCCCAGCACTCATGGCTCTTGTGGGAGTCCTTCCGCCCGCAGTGTGCGCAGACGGCTCCCGGGTCCCGCCCCTCCTTTGGCTTCTCCCGGCAGTCAGATTGCCGATGCCCTGATTTCCCGCAGTTCCAGCAGTCCCCCGGGAACTCCCCTCTCGAGCTTGAAGCCGCCGGCGGGCCCGCAGCGAAGGCCTACTTCTCCTTCTTCTCGCGCCGGCGCTCCCCCTTGCTCTGACTTTTGGGTTTGCCTTCACCGCCATCGTTGGACTCCCGTTTTCTTTCATTCCCGCGCGACGAGGACGCCCCAGAAAGTAACATGCCCCCCATCATCCCGGCTAGGTCTCCCTTGACCATCTTTACCGGCGCGCGTCCCAACTCCCTGGTGTAGAGGGCTTCCTCGATCTGCCGGCACGTTTTCTCTAGCTTCGCCAGAGTCAGCTCGTCCTCCCCCCAGGAAAGGGTTTGATGCTCGACCGCTCTTCTCAGCTCCGGCTTCAAGGCAAACACCGCCTTCTCGACGACTTCCCGACGTGACCTGTCTCGGTCTTCTTGTTCAGCCGGATGAGCTCTCTAAGACGGTGGAACATCCCCTGCGTGGTTTGCGACTTGTCGTAGGAGAAGAACAAGTAGTCCCGCAGCGCGGCGGCAGTCTGCTCCGGGTAGGTTGTCTGCAAGAACGTCCAAGCTTCTTCCATCAGAGTTTTGTCCTCTTCAGGCATGAGCTTTGGACCTGGGTGAGAAGCACCGGGATCTTGGCTTGTCGTGCCACGCCTTGATCAGCTTCTGCTCGTTGGCCTTGTTCTTGTCATCAATCTTGGTCCTCTCCTTGATGGCCTTCTCCAGAGGTTCACGGAAGTGGTCGTGCAGGGCGTGATAAGCATCACCCTCACAGGACTCCAGCAGGACCGCAAAGGACTCCATCGCAGTCAGACTGGACGCCGACGCATTCCTTCTAGTCATCAAAAGACTGAGACGATTCTGGAA